GGTGCAATCAACTATTTTGATAACATATTGTAGAAAGTGCAATCAACTATTTCAACTTTAAGTATATATCATCAAATACTTAAACAAGAAAGAATTATCTAAAAGTTAAACAGAAAAAAATTATCCAAAAGTTAAAAAAAAATATATGTAATTCTTAAAAAGTAGAAAGTGCAATCAACTATTTCAACTTTCTAGTCGGTGGTATTAGTGTAGGATAATTGGTGGTATCCAGAACATGTTCTTTTGCTATCTGAGGTCCACCAAATTTGCTAGCAACCGTACCAGTAACTTCACTTTCGCTGATCGCGCCAACATCATCAGTTGAAATTCCGTCAAATCTGGACTCTTTCGTGGAGTTTCAATTTGTTTCTTAGACATGATGATGAATAATCGTGGGTAAGATGGGTAATCAGTTTTGATGTTGGACTAGATGAAAAAGAATGGAGAAAGTTTGATAGTGGGTTGTGGGTTGAGTCGTGTGGGAGTGAAGAAACGTGTGGGATGGTGGTGTGATCGATGATTGGGGATGATAATGGTAAACAAGGAAAGGAAATCCCTAAAATTGGGTAACTGAAAATTTTAGTTTTTAAAAAAGGAAGTAAATTAATTATCTATTATTAATTAATAATAAAAAACTATAAATAGATAAATAATTTATTAAATAAATATAATTTAATTTTAAAATAAAATAAAATTTAACTGATATGTCATAACCCGTAAATAATCTGTTATAAGCAATAAATTTTTAAAAGTAGATTTAAAACCCGTAATATTTACTCTTAAATGTGTATATGGGGTGATTTTACCTTGTGAAAATTTCATATATGACATATATTAGACTAATATTTTCAAGTTATAGCAGTAGAATCAAACTTTCAAGTTGTAACATTAAAAATTTCAGGTTCTAACAGATTATTAAAAAAAAAGTTATTTTTAATAATTAAAAACATTTGATTTGAAAAGAATAAAAATATAAAAAAAAATTAAAATAAAACGTTTATGAAGGAAAAAATGAAAAAAAAGGAAATAGGGGTGTCAATTAAATTTGAATTAATTTAAGATAATTATTAATTAGCATGAATTAAGGAATTTCAAACTAATTAAGAATATTCAGTTTCCTTAATTCACTCTAATTTGTTAGATTTTATCCATTTTTCTTCCACGTTTCTCTCTCTTCGATTTTCTTCCAGAAATTTTGTCACTAGCGACTAATTGAAGTTTTTTTTTTGTTTGAAAAATCCTGATTTTTTTTGTGATAGACAACTACGTATCAATATTAATTAAATATTAATTGTTTACTATTTGTATTTGGATTTCAGTGAAATGAAAAAAAAAACTGTAAATCACATTTTGTGAGTTTGTTTTTGTAAATCATCACTATATTGAATGTGATATGTTTTTTTGTATAAAACAATACGTTTTGTTCATAATACGTATTAGTTGTTGTGAAACTGTAATATCAGTGATTTTCTTGGTAAGTTACTGTTTTTTGCTAGGGGTTTAATGTCACCATATTTTTTATACTGGCAAAACAATGATTTCGTGAGAAGTTGTCACAATATATGAAAGATTTGAGTATAAATGTATAACATATAAATATTTTTATCGTTGTAGATTGGGTATGTAGATTAAAATTATAATATCGATTACTATTTTTTTTCCTGAAAAAATAAATTAAAATGTATAGTTTTGAATGAATTTGTTAGTATAAGTGTAATGAATTTGGTATGAAAGTGTATTCACTAATGTGAAAAAAAAGGTTATTTAAAATTTTGAAGAATTGTATGACAGTTGTTTTAAGTTGGTATGAAAGTGTGTTAACTAGTTAGTAAAAAAAATTATTTAGAATTTTGAATAATTGTATGAAAAGTGTTTTAAGTTGGTATGAAATTTAAAATGTTGTTGTTTATATAAGTTTTGTCAATGATATATAAATTTGTGTGAAAGGAATGAACTATTTGGTATGAGAAATGTGTAGATTTGGTATAAATGATGATTGTATGTATGAAATTTGTATTAAGTGGGTATGAAATTTGAAATTTTATTTTTTAATGAAATCTGTTTGTAGTTTACTGTCTGAGTGATTTTTGTATGAAAAAATAATGACAAGTGTGTATAATTTTATTTTATTTGTATTATGTAAGACTAATTGTTATTTTTTTTTAATGAAACAGGGAAATATGTTGATTTTCAGATGGAGGGATTATATATGAGTATTCTAGTCTTTATAGTGGTCTAGTAAGTGTGATAACATCACAGCTAATGATAGATGTTAATATTCACAATATAGAGATAAAATATATAGTTAGTGATAGATGTCCCCCTGTTAGTATCCACAATGATGTTGGTGTGCGGATTTTTTTAGATCAAAAGAAAGCTAATGTAGATTTCTTTACGATTTCATATACTTGGAAATAAAATTTATTCCAAATTAATATATAAGATAGTGTAAATATTTGTACAGATTTCCGATTTCAGATTCCATATTTTATATACGTGATTCATTAATTATTCATACAGATTTCATATACTTGGAAATAAAATTTATTCCAGATTAATATATAAGATAGTGTAAATATTTATACAAATTTCATATTTCAGATTCCAGATTTCATATACACAATTCATTAATTATTCATACAGATTTAATATACTTGAAAATAAAATTTATTCCAGATTAATATATAAGATAGTGTAAATATTTATAACAAACTTTATACCAATCTTATTCAAGTTTCATTCTAACACGAACTTCAATTTATATCACACATATTACACCAACAATAAATCAATTTCATATAATCACACAATGCATATCATTTGTATACCAATATTATATCACAATTAATACAATATCCAACCATCAAACATTAAATTCAGTGTCATACGCATATTAAATAAATTTCACACACATTTCATCCATTAATTGTACAATTTGAATACACACTGATATTTTAAAATAGTGAATCCAAATGGTATGAAGTCTGTATATTACTAGTATCCTGAAATTACAATAGCCAAACAATAATTCATATTTAGATGGTATCTGATTGGAAGAAAACATATGATATTATATATCATCAAATACTTAAACACAAAAAAGTTGTCCAAAAGTAAAAAAACAAACAAACATGTAATTAAAGCAGTGTGATTATACGAGAAATGTGTATACACGTTAGTGTATTGTGCATGACGACTTTTCTATACCTAGCTAGCTCCACAATCAATGATAAATAATATTTTTATTGACTTGTTTTATTTTAGGTGACTCGGACTTGATTTGAAGTTTGTGTATTATTCTAGTGATTTCAAATTTGGGTAGTGTATTTACCACTATCTTAAAGATGAGATAGAGAAGTTGTTTTTGAATAAAGATCCTCAACTAAAAAATACCTTATATAAGTATTATGATATACAACCTAATTGTACTTTTGAATTACTCATGAACCATACCGAATATTTATAACTATCTACATATATAATCATGGAAGCAATTTCCTTGTTCATGCCAGAGTTATGGGCTTCAGTAGTAAGATGGCCAGGTCATTTCGTCTGCTCCGTGGGCCATTTAAATGGATCAACACCACAAGCCCAACCTTCATTTCAACTAATACTAGAATATTAGTCCGTCATTTTCAAAAACATGTTTAGAATAGAAAGTAAACATATTGTGATATTTTTTAGAAAAAATCACTAGTTTGACAATTCATACCATTTTCATACCAGTTTAAAAATTCATATCATATACACAGTTAATAGACAATCACACTAATATTAAAATACAATTCATACCATTTGTATACCAATATTATATCTCAATTCATACAATATCCAAAATCAAAACATTAAAGTCATAGTATACAAATATTAATTAGATTTCATACGCATTTCATGCAATAAATATACAGTTTGGAAACACACTGATATTTAAAAAAATTTGAATCCAACTGGTATGAAGTCTATATATTACTAGTATCCTGAAATTATAATAATCAATCAGTAATTCATATGTAGATGATATTATATATCATCAAGTACTTAAACACAAAAAAATTGTCCAAAAGTTAAAAAAATAACATGTAATTCTAAAAAAGTAGAAGGTGCAATCAACTATCTCAAATTTCTTGTCCGTGGTCTTGGTGTAGGATAATTGGTGGTATTCGAAACATGTTCTTTTCTTTTTGATTTCACTAACACAATCAGAATCGTAATCAGAAGGGGTTTCAACAATTTTCCCCTTCCTCTTCTTCCCCTTTTGATTTGCCTGGGTCGCCCTTTTCTTTGCTTCATTTTTTTCTCTTTCCGATCCTTCAACTGAGATGAACCACTCGTCGCCTGATTTTCAACAATTTTAGGCAAGAAGTTTGAGTTAATATATTGAAAGTTGGAGCATGAACTTCATCAGTAGAAGTCCCTTCAACCAATCTGGGACTCTTTCGAGGCGTTTCAATGAGTTTCTTAGACATGATTTTGTTGAAAAACTTAATTGGACGGACGATTGTGAAAATTGTGTAGTTGGCTGGTGAGAAAAATGGGAGAGACAAGGTGAAAGTGGGGTAGTGGGGTGATGATGTGTAGATTTGAATAGGCGTGAGTGGAGGGTGGTGGGATTGAGGTATGGAAGGTTTGGAGTGTAACAGTAAACAGGGAAGTCTAATCTATGTAAATCCCTTAATATGTGTAACTGATGATTTCAATTTTAAAAAAGGAATTGAAATCAAATTAATTAAATATTATTAATTAATAATATAAAAATATAAACAGATTAATCATTTATTAAATAAATTGAAATTGATTTTTAAATTAAATTAAATTTAATTGATATGTCATAACCCGTAAATAAACTGTTATAAGTAAGAATTATTTAAAAGTACGTTTAAAACCCGTAAAATTTACTCTTAAATGTGTGTATGACGTGAATTTTCCTTTTTCCTTTTCCTTTTCTCGCGAAGTGTATAGTGAATGGGCTTCGGCTTACAGCCTTCCTTAAGTGGCCCAAAATAACGCACTCAAAATTGAACGGCATTGGGTTCTACAACCCGAATCCCCTTCCCACATCATCGATAATTCTCCATTGATCAAAAACCCTAGAAATGCTAGCACTTCGCAAGCTCTCGACCCTAAAATCATCAAGATTTCTCTCTTCTTTCGCTATTCAAAACCCTATCTGCAGCTCCTCAACGATTCCAGACGTTCCCAGTTGCACCAACTACGATGAACGCATCAACAAAGCCGGCCGTGAAGGAGATTTCACCACTGTCCATCACCTTCTTAACAAGCGCGCGCGCGATGGCTTCTTCAACACCAACAATACGTTCAAGTTCATTTCCACTAATAATGTGTCCATACTCGATGATCTATTGGAAATTATAGCTCGGTTAGATAATGGTTTCCCGAGAAAGAGCTCCTACGACTGTCTCATTGCGCGTCTCTCGAAGATGCACTGCATTTCGGAGGCTATGCGTGTTGCCAAAGCTATGGTGAGCAAAGGTCACGAAGCAAACAATGTCACGTTTCATCCCATAGTTAATGCTCTGACGAAGAAGGAGGAATTCGAAGAAGCCTGGCAAGTGGTGGCGGTGATGAAATCCTGCGGAATTTCTCCTGATTTGACGACGTATAATTTTCTGCTGACTGGTTATTGTTTTGCTGGAAATGTGGCATCAGCTGCTGGTGTTCTAGCAAAGATAGAGGAGGAGGAGCTGGGGGCGGATACGAGGACTTACGACGCCCTGGTTTTAGGCGCCTGTAGAGCAGGGAAGTTGGATGCTGCTTTGGGAGTGGTGAGGAGGATGCTAGATGATGGGGTTCCGCCATTGTATTGCACACACGCCCATATTATCGGAGCGTTTCTGAAGTATAACTATTATGAACAGGCAGTAGAATTTGTTAGGAGCTATGCAGGAAGAGATGCTAAATTGGATGCAGAAAATTTTGGAATACTGGCGACCAGATTGATCACTCGGAGTAAGTTGGAGGAAGCTAAGAAACTGGTTAAAGAGATGAGTGAAAGGAGATTGGTAATGGGTCCGAGATTGAAAGATTTCTATGAATTGTATGTTAGATCTGATGGTTTGAGATAATTATTGAGTATGAATGCAGCATTTTTGATATGTAAAGACTTGGTTTTGTTGGATGTTAGTTAAAAAGAAAATTTCATGGATCATTCATTCGATGACGTATAGTTTATGAATTGAATCATAATAATGGAATGTTTAATTGATACAAATAGTTAGAAAGATTAACAAAAAGGAGAATTTATTACTGGATTGATTTGTCCAAATTTAAGATCTTTCTGGAATGGACAGTTTTTAAAGAACAATGTGGCTACAAACACATTGTCCTACATTGTCAATAGTTTATAAAAAGGTACCTTAAGGGAATGCTAAAAGCATACAATAGTGAAAAAGGTTTTGCTCTGGTAAACATTGAAGTGAGAGGATACATGAAAAGATCTGAGAACTTGAAGCAGCAGCAAATAATAGAGTTGGAAAAGGGAAATATCTACTAAAAGGATGTTGACGAAGGTCTATCAGAGCTTGAAAGATTGAAACTTTTGTCTGCAAACCCTGCTCTTGTCGGTAAGCCAACTTACTGGCTCTAGGTGTTTACATCTAACCAATTATGCATGACATGTATTTGACCATATACAGTTATCACTTAACGATAGGTAATTAATGTACATATGTACTTCATTAAATCACTTAACCTTGGTAGGTTTAATTGGTTAGGTGTAAACACCATGCAAGGGTAAATATTTACCCAAAGTCCCAATTTTGAACTCATGTCCTCACAAGTTAGTTATATCCATTTTATGTTGCAGCAATGATGTTGAACCAACCTGACTTGTATCTTTCAATGAGAACATGATCAATTTATCATATGCGAAGATAAAGCATCACTGTCCTTCAACATTACCGGAAGTGTGACAAGGTTTACAACAACAACAACATACTAGGGAGGTGGGGCAGTCCTATGATCCCACAAGTGTGACAAGGTTTCCCTTTAAAATTATCTCCTTTTAGTGTTTCTTATTACTGTATAAGCCCTTTAAGTTTGCAGTTATTAATGCTAGATATTGGTTTTTGGCTGCATATAGTTCGTTATGGTTTTGCTAAAAGATTGTCATATATCCCAGGATATTTTTCTCCATGTTTTTCCATTTGGCGTTAGTGCTTAAATTACTGGAGCTTAAATTTAGGGAAGCATAAACGGCTGCAATGCTATGGCTCTATCACTCTATAATTTCCGTTCATTTGCCAAATTTTTGCACAGCGACTTCTATTTACTTTCGAAAGTCCAGAAACAGTAAATCAGACAATTTGGCTGACTAAACTCTATGGTTTTTTATTCTTTGTTGTTAATTCAATGTGATACCTGATTTCTACAGGGTTGAGTTGGCTGAGCCTTAGTTTGGTTTTTTTACTCCATGAGTGCACTTACAAGGTGGGTAATGAAAGCTGAGCAAATATCAATTAAGGCTGGAACCTTGACAGTCTTAAATTCTTCGTTATGTTAGATGCTTCTTGAGATGTCAATGTTGTTCATACTTGTAAGTCTCAGTTTTGGCGTGGTACTTGTTTCCCTGGGAAGAAAAACTGAAGATTGCCATCAAAGTTGATGCTAGGAATACGTGATTTGGATTGATCAGTTTTATCCTAACCAGCTTGTTGGCAAATACTGGATACACATGATCTAAGAGGTATTATCTTAGAAGTTGCCTTTGGGCTTTCATGTGAACAGAAATGGTTAAATTTATCCTCTAAATTCTGCTTCTACCATTCAGTTCAAATTTAGTCACGGTTTCTGTAACAACCTACTTTACTTCTTACAGTCTTACCTCTGTTTACTTTTGGGAATGACCTGTCTACTTATTAGTATATGCTGGACCAGTAGTTCTTTGATATGAGGAATTCTTTTACTGAATTTGGAGTTTGCTAGAGCCACACCGGTCTAAGCAAAGTGGAGGCTTGATTGGGTTGTGGCTTAATTTGCGTCCCTTTATCGGCTATCCAATTGTGTATACTGGAAAATACTCTGGATTTCTTAACTTCTGGCATAAATTGGACTTATCCAAATCTTCCAAAGAAATGAAGTCTATTTTTGTGGTGGTATGGTGGATTATATGGAGAAAAAGAAATGCTTGTATTTTTTACGACGAGAAGGATGTTAGAGTGGATTCGAGTCACACATTGGTTGGAGAATGAAATGGTGGTCTTCTTATATGGACTTAGGTAATCCTCCCTTCATGAGCTATCTTTTATGGTCGAGTTAGGCCCATGTGTCATATCTTTACATGGTATCATAACCAGGTTCATCCTCGTTTGGGCTCCCGGTCCACGCTCTAGTTGGGTGTAGGCGTGAAAGGGGTGTTAGAGTGGGTTAGAGTCCTACATTAGTTGGAGAATCGATTGGTGGTCTACTTATATGGACTTGGGCAATCCTTCTCCTATGAGCTAACTTTTGGGGTTGAGACAGACCACAAGTGTCATATTCTTACAAAGGATAATGTCATTTATCTCAATCACAAGTGTATATTCTTGCTTAGTTTTTGGTGCCACAAAGCTATGGTGGTTGTTTAGAGCCGGATGTTATTGTGGACTTTTTTTGCTCTCTACACATTGTGAAGTTTATTTTGGATGTAATTCTGCTCCAGCATTCCCTTAAGGTTGGTAGCTTTCTCGCATCAATAATGTCGCTTTATTATTTATCAGGAAAATACCAATATCCGGTTCCTTGTATGGTTTGGGAACAGTATTCAGAAAACTAGTAAATGTGGTTCTTCCTTAAAAAAAGAAGAAGCTAGTATATGTGGTTGGTTGTTGAGTATGACAACTGTGATGAGGCATGTGTTTTTATCAGAACTTGTAGGGAGTGAAGTTACTACCTAACCGACAGTGAGATCAATTTTATTTGTTACTAAAATAAATATACATCACTTAAAAGAAAAAAGATCATTGTTCATGTCCGTATGAGTTCCCCATTAATTCGTTAGTGTCATCCTGGTAAAACATAGTTTTTATTTGCATTCAAAGAAGCCACAGAACTAAACCCTTCGGGGTGGCCCAGTGGTTTGGGCTTGGGACTTCCGGAGGTCTCAAGTTCGAAACCCCTTGCCTGGGTTTGCCTTCTGGGTCGAGCTCGTCGCATCGGGATTGCCTAGTGCGGGTTACTTCTCCTGTATGGTTCGCGAGCTATTGCATAGATGCGCGCACCCAAAGGGTAGTGGTTGCGAGTTTCCTTGTCATAAAAAAAAGAATAAAAAGAAGCCACAGAACCGGAGCTGTGGTCTCCATCTTTGTAGTAGTGATTTTAGTCAGAATAACTAGTTGCTGGAGTTAGTAATCAGAATTGTGTCATCTTTAGTATCATTTTGTGCATATCAATTTCCAGGTTACTGCAAGTATGAGATTATGTGTTTGTACCTGAAAAGGCGCAGTGGTACTTTGTACCACTTTTTGAGCATAGGATTCTCCTTCTTTCCTTGTCTCTTGCTTGCACAAGGGACATAGTATGAAGTATTTCTCTGTGTGCCCTTTTTAAACTTCCACTTGTTTTTGGATTGGTGGTAAGATCTTCAACCTTTCCTGTTTTTACCTAATGATTGGCAGTTGGATAAGTAAGCAATTCTCAATGATATTGTTAATGTTGCTATATATTTCAATTTTAAGTTTGTTTTCGAAAAAGCTGTAGTTATTGGCATCAGACAATCAATGAAGTTTGCTTAGTTGCTTGTAAATTGTTGCGTGATAACTTGTCATTTTGTAAGGTAAAAAAAAGCAGATATTTCGAGGGTGAAAATTCACCTTGAGTCTCATCTCTGATGGATGATTAATGCCTGCACTTATACTTCTCCTCTTTGCTCCATCAAACAGGTCATTGCATGCTGGCAAGGAATTGACAGCATGGTTGTTATCTCTGAGGAAAAAAACTGATGCCGTAGTTTGCCTGTTTCCTGTCGTATCGTTGCTGTGGCTGAGTACTGAAGCTTGGCAGGATTCTATCACATGGCGGGCATATTACTGGATAAAATAACAACGAACAAGTTGGGATGGAGTTTCAGGCACACCATAAAAGAACTGTCATCTTTATACCAGCAGCTAACTGGTATACTTCTCAGTAGCTGCTGGATAGTCGTGGAGTTATTTCTGTGGAGCTTCAGTTATCAAATATCTAAGAAATACTTCATAATTTTTTCTGTTATTGCAGTATGTTAAGTGCTACTAGATTATCATCATAACGTAGTTTGTATACGGAATCTGTATAAATCAAGATTAGAAATCAAAGTTGATGTATAACCATACTTCACAAATTTGTTGATTGTCAATTTGTCATTGATCGCATTGAATTAGCTCTCGGTATAGTGCTTCTGTATCCATCATATCTGTACTATAGCTCAAAATATATCCTTGTGATTTTGTGGAGTTTGGTTTACTCTTTTCTTCTTTTTAGAAAATGAAAATGGGCTCAAAGCACCAGTGGTTTTTGAAATTTTGTACGTTTTTCGTTGGGCCTTTCAACCTCCAAGTATACTAAAGATGATAATGTGGCTATTGAAGCAAATAGCTTATAAATTAGTCTTTCATTTACCAGGCAAATCCACCATCAACAATGTACAAAATCGAAGAAATTTACCTTTAATGAGCCGCTCTTCCTCTTATATATATATATATATATATATATAAGGAAATGCGTAAACGTACATTAAATAGAGAAGGATCATGGAAATGGAAATTGACCAAATTCATTGTTGGATCCAGTTTGGTCCATGGCAAAGGTATTCTGGCTGAAGCTATCCAAGAATCCACCAGAAGTGTCCGCAAAAAAAGAAGGCGTATTGATATTAACATTAAGAGGATCATAATCCAAGAGTGAACAATTAGAAGTTGTGCTACTGGGCTTGGCTTCATAGTAAGCAAGATGTGCTTTAGTAACCATCAGATCATGTTGTAGCTCCACCATCTTCCTCTGCAAAGATGCTATAGCTCCAATGCAACCGTAAACCGGGTCTCTAAGTCTCACCTCAGCCTCGTAGACCAGCGAGTTGACAGTGTCCTCTCGTTGGTCTTGTGGCACTTCATTCAGGATCTTGATCACGTTGCTAGCTCCAAACACCTTGTGTACATTAGCAAACTTCTTCGGCTCGTCTGATCGGAAATATGGCGCAAATTGGCAAGTGGTTGTGCACCTTCTCTTCAAGAACTTACAAGCTGCACAAGAAGAACTTGAACGTGGCTCATTACTTTTCATGGCTACCTCCCCTTTTTTTCAAAAAACTTCAGTTCCACACAACTTTGGTTCTTCTTTTATAGGGTTGGTTCCTCACCAATGCCTTATACCAAATATATAAACTATTCATTACTGTACTAACAAATTGGCCCATTAGCTCAGTTGGTTAGAGCGTCGTGCTAATAACGCGAAGGTCGCAGGTTCGAGACCTGCATGGGCCAAAATTATATTATTTTCATTACTGAAAATGATCAACTTTGATTATATTCTTTTCTTTTCTCTGTTAAAAGGAATAAAAAAAAGTGTTAGTAGCTGGAATACTGATCCCTTTTACTGACAAATAAAAGGGGTAGTGGAAGAGAAATAGTTAAAGATGGGGTATGTGTGTCTCGAAGAAATAACATGGGATATGATAGTTCAAGGAAAAAGCAACAAAAAAAAAAAAAAAAAACTACTACTATACAGTATACACCTTTGATATGTTGAGGGTGAAGGATGGGACATGTTGATTAAATCCCCCAAATAAAGATGAGATGTTACAACAATTGATTATGAAAGATGAGAGATTTCACAAAAATAGGAAACCCTATATGTAGAGAAGATGGAAACCTAATACCTATAGCTAGCTACACAAAGATTCAAAGAAGTGAATTGCATTTGATTGAGTTTGAAAGGAATAAAAGTGAACATGTCTCCAAATTCTCAGGATCTTTATTTTTATTCCAACAAATCATAATCTTCAAATATCTTATCAAGTAGTAGTAATTTATTACACCTTCCATCTTATTTTATACAAGTTAATTTAACTTGACACAAAATTTAAAAAGAAAGATTTTTGAAACTTATGATCTAAAATTAGTGATAGATGTTTGTGTGTGACTAAATCATTTCATTAAGAATATCGTACAATAAATATTTTAAAGTCAGATTGTTACAAAATATAAATTAGATCTTTCTTTTGGGATTAACAAAAAAAAAAGAGTAAGTCATATAAGCCGTGCCCGAGGAAGTACTACTTTATAATTTGGTTAAGACGGAACTTATATAGTATTAACACATGTAAAGATTATAGACCAAGAAGCATACCAAACTTTTTATCTTATCTGGATGAACTTATTTTTTTATAAAGATAATGGCACGCGTTGAATTCAGACTTTAGGGTTGAGTTTGGGAAGAGGGAAAGTATTTTATAGGATAGTTAATTTCTTACTTATTTTTTGATACGTAAATTAAAAAATATTATTTTAAAAATATTTATAAATAATTTTGACACACATTGATAATGATTTGCATTTCCATCTCTAGCTGAGACATTACAATTAGGAAACTATAATCAGCTCTTCGCTGCACATACTAGAGGTGGTGGGATTAAGGGCTACACGGATAAGTGAATATTTGGTGGGTATAATGTGTTGGAAGACACAATTAATATGAAATATCACTTGTAGTATTTGTTTTGCTATATATTTCTACTATTCTACTAAAGACATTATATTTTTCTCATTTTAAAGAAACTTATTTTTTTAGAGAAAATATTTTTCAACAATTTGAATGACTAACCAAACATAGAAAAGTTGTATACTGAACATAACCCCTAAGACGTAGTACATATGTTTTTTTTTTAAAAAAACAAAACAAATAATTTTCTTCGAAAAAAGTATATGTTGAACATCTTAAGAACAAGATATATTAGGTTCGATTTGACCTTTCGTAGATTAATACCAAACAAAATCAATATTGTCAAAGTTTTCATTAAAAAAAATACAAAACCAAAATAAAAAAAAAACATTAAATCTATTTTTGATATGCTTTGTTTTATTTGAGCCAAGGTTAATCGAAAATCATTTATTTCTCTTAATAGAAAGTTGCATATATATATATATATATATTAATACATCAAAAATGATCTTTAGCGGCGATAGCTCAATTGCCGCTAAATATGTATTTTTAGCGGCAATAACACTCTTTGTATATGTCCCTAAAGACCTTAGCGACATTGAATGTAATGACACTTAACTAATGCCTGTAAAAATTTTAGCGCTTTTTATTAATGTGTCTATTTATTGCCGCTAAAAGTTATTTTTGTTATAGTGTCGATCTCCTCAAACCTTTACTTATGGAATTATACTAAATATATTGTTATCGATTCAATTTGATTTTTCGCTTTTGCTTTGAACGCCCCTACTCTCACATGTATATGTATTAAATGTCGATTGAGTTAAATCAAACATGGTAGGTGTGATGATGCTATCCAGCCAAGATGATAAACTTAATTAAGTCTGTCATTATCATATCATATCGATCACCAGTATTTACTAAGAAATGATTTGTCTCAAGAAGTCTATTGTATTTCTTTTCTACCACATAAGTTGCTTTACAACATTATTTGAGCATTATATCATTTTACTCAGGACGTCAAACCCACACATTTGAAGATTCTTTTATCACTACTTTGTTTGGTAGCTTTTAAGTATTGGATTAATTAGACTTTACTTTCCTAATGTAGTTACAAAAGATTGGATTTTCAATATAAAAAAGGTGTATATCAAATAATTACAATTGTTTTTGGGAGGTAATATTATTAATATTTCAATCATGGAATTATTTCCAAAAGAAATTAGGAAAGTGGGAAATTATTCTTCAAGATAGTTTCTAGAGATTTGATCGACATTTATTCGCCATCAAAGCCAAGAGTTGGCTTCTTCTGGTGCGTATGCGTTTTCAAGCTATCTTTGACATAAATTGAGCCTCACGCCATCATTTTGCAGTCTTCATATTATAATTCACTTGAACTATAGTGAAATTGTTAGTTACACATCTAAACTTTGTTGTGGTAGTCCTAGGCTCCTAGCTATGATCTTCCTAGACTTTTTTTAAAAATAAAAAATACAGTATTTTTACCCCTTCAAATTTCAATATGATCTAGTAATTGTATGTTATAAGAGCGCCTATCAATCAGCTTAAAACTCATATACTCCTTATGTATTTGTCATGTAAGGGTCCAAATTAATCAAAATTAAAGCTGGTTTCGTCTTGGTAAAATAAATAACCTCCTCTCATTTTAGCCATTGACAACGAGCTAGCATTGAAGCTCAAAAGTTTCACTGTTATTAGAAATTCTTTGTCAAAAAAAAAGAAACAGTGAGGAGTATTCATCTCATTATAAATAATGTACTGTAAAAATGTATATTCAATGCTCTATTCCTTTCTAAGAGCGCATTCATTTTGAAGTAGTGTAATTTAACACCTAGAAAATATAAAACTTCAGTAAATGAAAAGACAAATACAAAAAAAGTTTCAAACATAACTTTGGACAATTTAATTATTTTAAACAATGAAAAAAGTCTCAAAAATTCAGTTAATATGGATTAGAATTGAGTACTAATTAACTAACTCCTAACTAGCTACCATCCTAACGTACTTGACTGACTAAAGTACGGTATCAGTTAGGTAATTTAAGAGGAAGTAAATTACCCTCTAGTCGGTTGGTGTAAGGGATAAAAATCTAGTCAGTTGGTGTAAGGGATAAAATAAATAGTGATGTGATAAGAAAATAGTGATGAAATAAAATAATGTCTTGTTTGGTTGCCATGTTTGGGATAACTTATCCCACCACTTATACCATAGTGATGAAATAAGTTATCTCAGAATAAATAATCGCATGATAGCTAATCCTGAAATAACTTGTTCCCAATAAAACGACCCTTTGTACCCAAAATTTGTGTATAATTATAGCGTTTGCTATGCACTCAATTAATAATCCTTAGATCTCTTCAAATCTTGATGAAATTACAAGTGCAAATAAATAAATAATATTTGTACATAAATGGATAATTATGTTGATTCACAAAAAAGAGTGGATATTTTGAGGAATATATAGCCTCTCATCATACTGCAGCAGGAATATTGGACATATTAGGGAATATATATTTTCTCATCTTATATAGACGTCTGTAGGCACATGTCTAAGTTCTAACTTACTTTCTTTACCAGGTCATTATTGAAAAAGGTAAAAATATTAAAAAGAATAAGTTCAGCGGATAGTAGGACGTTTGCATAATTTAAGTTTGTAATTGGTAATTTCACTATAGTTTAGATGTGTTTTTATTCCTTATTCTTAATATTACTTGTTTATTTTATATGTATCTTTAAACCTAATGAAATCGTAAGAACTCAAAATCAACTTTGTTAATTCAGAATGTTGATTTGGGTCAAACTTTCCGACTCCTGATCAACTTTCGAAATTGAAAATCTTCCCCTAAATGCGTCTTACCACCTCAGAAATTATGCTGCCCATTCTTGCAACTCACAAGTCATAAACAACATAATGAAACTACAAAAAGGTTCAAACTGGGGAAAGAATCCAAAAGAACAAAACGATGACGTGGATCATTACAATACCAAAAAATAAGGGGAAAAAAACTCACCTGTTTTTGAGAAAAATATTTTTCAAACACCCTTAATTTCTTTTTGAATCTCATGTTTGGAAATAGGAAGATGGGGTTTCCTCCTTAACATCTTTTATATTTAGATGTACAAAATTGGAGATAAAAAGCAAATTTTGATAGGGTCAACTATACTCTGTAGTTCTATTTTACCCAAGTAAATTAGGTTAGATAACTGAAGTCCATCTACCTATACTAATTATATTGTTGGGAAATTATTGAAATTAATCACATAAAATACACAGGAATTTTCAGCTTGAATATCCTTAAATTTCATCGATAAAGTTGTATTTTCCAAATTCAACAAATTTTTTTAGTAGAAATTGGTAGAAGAAAGAAAAAATGCCAATTACTTTAAAGTAGAGAAAGAACACATTTTTGTTGAATCTCTGAAATGAGATACACTTTCTTTTGAAATACTATTCACAATATCTTTTTGAACATATTAGACTATATTTTTACCTCAACATTAGATAATATCATGATTTAGTTCAAAGGGATTGATTATAAGAAAATCTATGTATCATTTTATGCAGATATTGGTTATGTATATATGAATTAGTTCATGTGTTAGTTATTTCACCTTCTATTCTGCATAAAAATGTATATATA